AAAAAAAAAAAAAAAAAAAAAAAAAAAAACCTCCGGAAAAAAAAATGTTGTGTAGAATTGAAATACAAACGACTTTTGGCCGAGGGTCGCATTATAACTCCTCACAGAATCAGAGAAAAAAAAGAACGTAACAGGATCACACACAGGCACCCCCCTTTAAAGTTTAAAACCCTTTAGCCCCTTTAAACCAAGTTATACCCCCCTCCCACCCCCTTGACAGCCAACTCGCAAAAAAGGAAATGAGCCCGGATTTGGGGTCCTCTAGGAGAGCGCAGAAAACCAAAAAAAAACGAAAACAATTTTTTTTATTTTTTTTTATTTTTTTTTTCGCGCCCGGGTTCCCCAGTCGTGAGGCCTCCCCGAGCGTCACGCCAGGGTGCCCGGCCGGGCAGGACCGGCCCGGCGTAAGAATATTCCTAGATTTTTACTACTTACTCATTGTCTGTGGGGCGAAAATTGATTACCACCCACAGCCTGTCCTTGCAGTCAAATCCAATTGATTGTAATTCCAATGTAATCCAATTCAAATTAATCCAAGATTCCAAACTGATTCCAATCCAGTCCGGTTTGATTCAGTTCACTGAATCAATGCTGAATCCGATCCGGGTAGATCAATCAATTAAATAATTTAAATTCAATCAGATCCAACATCCTATCCAACCCGATCCGATCGGAAAAACTAAACTGACCACATTAGATTGGATTGGATTGGATTGGATTGGATTGGATTGGATTGGATTGGATTAGATTGGATTGGATTGGGTAGGATAGGATAGGATGTTGGGTCGGATTGAATTTGTAAATGATTGACCTACCTGGATCAGATTCAGCACTGAAAGAATTTTTGTGAAGACTAAACTGAGCCGGATAAAATTGGATTGGATTGGATTGGATTTGACTTGACTGCAAGGGTAGGATGTGGCTGGATTTGGTGGTGGGATGGAAGAAGGATTCGATAAGATCGCATTCATTCCGCAAGGATGGGAAATTGATTGAGAGGGTTGGTCAATTAACTTACTGCGTGATTCAATTTGATTGATTCAGAATAGAGTTCGTCGATTGATTGGATAACCAACTGATTGATATACATGGGAGTTGCTTGATTGATTGATCAATCGACAAATGGGATTGCACTGGATCTGCAACGACTGGATTGGATTAATTGGTTGGAGGATTTGATTGATTTGATGTGATTAATTGATTTGACTGATTGATCGACTGACTGACTGATCAACTGATTGATTGGTTGATTGACTGATTGACTGACTGATTGATTGATTGGTTGATTGATTGATTGATTGATTGATTGATTGACTGAATAATTGACTGATTGACTGAATGATTGGTTGACTGATTGATTGGCTGGTTGCTTGATTTGATTGACTGAATGATTGATTGATTGATTGATTGACTGATTGATCAACTGATTGATTGGTTGATTGACTGAATGACTAACTGATTGATTGATTGACTGACTGATTGACTGATTGACTGATTGACTGATTGACTGATTGGTTGATTCGTTGATTGGTTGATTGGTTGATTGGTTGATTGGATGATTCGACGATTGACTGACTGGTTGATAGGGTGATTGGTTGAATCGATGGATTGATGATTAATTGGACGACTGACTGGTTGTCGGTGGATAAAAGGGTGACTCGACTGCATCAGATTCACAATCACCTTCATGTGCCCGACAATAGTGACAGGATAGTCCGTTAAGAAAATTCACAAATCAATAATTATTAAATTGGTTGCTAAACTTAGATTATGCAACTTTTCAACCCAAACGGAAGTCCCGGGTCGAAGTCAAGAAAATTGACAAATTACTAAATTAGGAAATTAATAAAATTAAGAAACAAAATGAAATAAACTTCGCCCACAGAACATAAAAATTTCCAAAAAAACATGGATATCGGTCATAGGACTCGTAACAAAAATGAGAGACACGATACCAACCAAGGGTCCTGATGCAGAAAGCGCATGGCTGCCTTGTATGCCTGATTGAACATGTGCAGGTACTCGTCATCTCCCAGCAGCAAGTGGGCCTGGCACACACATTACAATGGATCAGCTATCCTTCAAACCGCCTCCAATTCCAGGAGAGACCCAACACCTCCCAATCTTGGGGGCAAACTCTTTGTCATCAATCTTGCAGGCGAAATTCTGTCAACGACATTCTGCATTTGTCGAAAGACTCAAAACCACCTCCCAATCTTGGGGGAGAAAATCCCTCCACGATGTTCGCCGTTTCTAAAAACCACCTCCACTTCCAGGAGACCCAACACGCAATGTTTTCAACGGTGTATGAAACTGCCACTAATCAGAAGAGGCATGAGCATGCGTCCTACATGCTGTATCACTCAGTTGAGGCAGAACATCAGCGAGCGTCTTACCTTGAGAAGATACTCGTAGAACGAGTCAATGCTAGTGCCGATTCCAGCATCCTGCCACACATGCACAAATACTCTTTACATATTAGCAAACAGAGCTCGCGGAAGAGCATTAGAAATAGCATTAGAAATATTCGCACCTACAATTGTACCACTCTTATTTGTTAGTATCGCACTACTATGTCTACTATTTCTGTGTAACTTATAGACAATAATCATAGGCATTTAGTACACAGAGCTTCCGTTCAAGGAAAGCCCAGATTCCATAATGGCGCTCAGATACATCAAGAGAAGTCCATTATAATGAACTTATGACAACCCGAGAGCCCAGATTCCTACTGTCTTTACCTGAAAATAATGCTCGGACATTATATTGAACTTACCTAGGCTACCAGAGTGGCCCAGGGACCAGCTGCATGACTGGGCCAATAAAAAAAGGAAAGAAAAGAAAAGGGAAATATATATATATTCGCTCCGCCTTAAAGCCTTGCTTCCTATTGTCATTGCCATTGTAGCACGTGTGTAGCCCAGCCCATAAGGGCCATGCGGACTTGACGTCATCCCCACCTTCCTCCAGTATATCGCCATTGGAATGATTTTAGGAGCAGCTTATTCCATTTGATAGATACCTTTGTTTGCATGTAGTGTCGTATTATATATATATTCAGCCTCCTGATGAGTCGGTGAAACTCCGACGAAACAGTTTGTCACAGCCCCTCGTTTGTTGTTCTCTTCTCCCTCTCTGCCTACGGTTTACCGGGCAGTTCTATTTGACGATATATATATTGTCACATGAATATCAGAGCGCAAAAGCGAAAAAAAGAAAAAAAAGAAAAAATGAATTCATTTTTTTATCTTCTTCCTTACAACTCCCCCTGTTCAGAACCTCTTGCGTACAAGGCCGCCCGTGTGTCGTATCGACCCACTTGCATATATAATATATATCGTCAAACAGAGCTGCCCGGTAAACCGTAGGCAGAGCGAGAGAAGAGGACAACAAATGAGGGGCTGTGACAAACTGTTTCATCGGAGTTTCACCAACTCATGAGGAGGCTGTATATATTTAGTTTTTATATTTTTAATCCGGTAAGGAAGTTTTATGTTACCCTGAGGCAAAAGTTGTGAAGTCTATTTTTCCTCATAACATAGTTCATTTTCGGGTTTTAAATTTTAATATCATTTTATGGATTTTTTTTTTTTTTTTTTCTTGTGCTGGGACCTTCCCTGGCCGTTGCCCGGCCGGGCCACCTGGGCATCCAAGGTGACTCGGACGCCCCAGTTGGTAGCCCAGGAACTTACCCTAAAAAACGTGGTATATATAGTATATACTATATAGTATAGACCTTTTTACCCAGTTTTATTCTAATATAATTCCCCTTCGAATTTAACACTCACACCTTATATTCGAATAGAACGCCCGTGCATGGTATTTCAATCTGGCATATATTTTTAACTCGATTTTTTTATTTTTTTTTCAAATATAATCATTATAATGCCCTTTTGAATATAATGCCTGCGTTTTCAATTCACATAGCCTGCAGCCTACATTCAAATAGCACACCCAGGCCTTATATTTGAATTTGGCATCGGTACAATGCCCTGTGCAGGGGGTTCATAGGGATTTCAACTTCAGACGGGTGTGCTTACCAGGTGAAGTGTTTTCTCGGCCAAGCCTTGTTTGCATCACAATTCTACACAACATTTTTTTCCCCCCTTTTATGAAAGGGGTTGATATATTTTTTTGTTCTCTTAAATTTGGACCCTCACCGAAAGTGCTTAACCCAGGCATTGTAAACGAATTAAATACACACTACTGTCTTAACCCCAAAACAGCGTACATACATTGTATTTGATTACAACGTCCGTGCATTGTACAAGAAATATTCGGGTGCAACTTTTCCAGGGCAAAGGTAAGAAAAAAATAATGCAAAAAATACGAAAAATAAGCAAAAGGGGTAGCATGGTATCTGTCCTGGCAGGCCAAGGTCCCAGGTACTTGGGTCGCCGTCTGTCGCAGTCAGGTCCCCGCCAAACACTCTCTGCCTGGGCAGGCCGTTGCAAGGAGGACTGGATTTCCTGCCTGTATTTGGATGCGCTTGGGGACAGGTGCAGAAAATCGCAGAACCCTTCGATGGGCTCCCCCACCCAATCGAAGAAGTTAGGGTTTTGACACCTGTCCGGTACATTGTATTTTACTTATAATTTAGGCTATGTTCTACTAAAAAAAAATAACGCGATTTTACAGAAGCCATTTTTCAGATGTGACTTCAATAGAACCTACGTACGTTGTTGTCTTCGGGTTAAGACAGTAGGCATTATATTTGTACATTGTGGGGGCATATGTCGCACAGAGATGGAGCTGGTCCGTACATCCAATCAGTCCTTATGCCTAGCCCATGCTGCCTATGTAAAGGCATATGAATGTGTCTAAAAAAAAAAAGGAAAAAAAAAAAGAAAAAGAAAAAAAAACAGTCTTGCCGCTAGGCAGGGTGATACGAGCACCCCCCCCTCCCCCCATGCTTGGTAATGAAAAAAATAGAAATAAATTAAAAAAGGAAACCAGTCTTGCCGCTAGGCAGGCTGATACGAGCAACCCCCCCCAATGCCAGGTAATGAAAAAAGTATATTTTTCTTAAGACCCGAACAAGGATAACATTCCTCAAAGGGCTGCCGAATTCCCACAAAGAGAAGACGCTCACAGAAGGAAGGAGAGAGAATCCATGGCAGGAAGAAGGTAGCAACCGTGAATTAAGTTCGATGCTGATCGCCCATGCACTATGGGTCAATGGACTGCTCAGTTACTGATGTCCCAAAGGGGAGTTGATTGCCAAAGAGAGGAGAGAAAAAGCCAACGCAAGAAGGCAACAAATGAGAGCTGAGATCAACACTGATCGCCCCATCCTAATGGCTGAATGTTACACTCAGGAAGCTCTTCAATAAACAGATCGGGAGTTCAAATCTTGATGAATAATATAGAAACTAATCCCGGTTTTTCTCTTTTCGTTCAGTGCCAATAATCCAACCACTGACCGTAAACACGCCAACTTCCGCTTGTATTTATTGTCACACACTAGCAACACGAAAAATGCACGCTGCATAACAAATGAAGAAAAGAGCTAACAGCATGCCCTCACAAGGTCCAGACATAGCGAGGACATGGCTATGATCGTAAACACACAGTCCACTTGTATTTATTGGCACATGCTACCGACACGAAAATTGCACGCCGCATATAACAAATGAGAGCACTTTCTTGATTCCATGGGTGGTGGTGCACGGCCGTTCTGCATTGGTGGAATGATTTGTCTTCTGTTTTAAAAAGGAGTCGAAAAAGAAGAAGAAAAGGGCAAAGAGCAGACGGCAGACTGAGATCTTCCTTTTTCTCTTCACCGGTTCACCCCTTTCTTTGCAAATCGTTCTTTTTCTTTCTTCTTCTGGCTCTTGCACAGATTCACAGATTCTCGTTCCTTTCCATTTTCTGCTTTCTCTTTTTACTGTGCAAGGGTTGCCACACCAGCATGGTGGCCTAAGGAGGCTAATTGCAGCCAATTTTTTTTTATTTTTTTTTATTTTTCCTTAGATAGTTGCTATGTTACTACTTTTGGCGGCAGAAGATTCGGGTGAAGATCCACGCACCTTGTGTGTCCATTCCCCTGTGAAGACGTTGATATGCCCACCAACCAAACCGAGAGAGGAACGCTGCGCCCACAACCCCCGAACTGCATTCTTCGCAGCTTCTTCAAATACTGTTTCAGCAACAAATCCAGGGAACATCAAACTCAGCAAGCAACTCCAACCTCGCACGAATATGACCACGATCATAGCCAAGTTCATGCTGTGTTTCAGCAACACATCCAGGGAACAGCAAACTCAGCAAGCAGCTCCAACCTCACACGAATATGACCACAATCATAGCCAAGTTCATACTGTGTTTCAGCAACAAATCCGTCAGTTATCAAACTCAGCAAGCAGCTCCAGCCTCACACAAATACGACCAATCATCGCCGAGTTCACACTGAGAGGAACTCCCAAATCGATAATCCAGTGAGCAACTTCAACATCTAGTAAACTCAATCTCAACAACCAGTTCGTGGCAGGCTACATTGCATTTTTTCCAGCGGGCACGGGAGCAAATGAAGCTTCCGAAACCCACATCCACAGTTTGCCTGTTCAGCAAATCAGTTTGTGCAAACCAGCTAGCAAGGCTGATAACGTTTTTTTTTCTTTTTTTTTGGGACCATTTCTCGATTTTTGCCATGCTAATCTTCTCTGTACCGTTCCAATTTTAAGGGATGTCCTCGAAAAGTCGGAGGACTTTTCTCCATTCCATCTAGCGCCCTGCGATTGTAATCATTTTCACACTCTGATAGTTGGATAAAGAAAAAAAAGAAGCTTGTGCCTACTGGACCCAAGGGGGAGTACCTGGGGGTGTGCAAAATTCTGAGCATCCCTACTTAGTACTTTGACAGTTTACAACATTGATTTCTGGCGGCCAAAAAAAACAACAACGAAAAAAAAAAAGCACGCTGCTTAGTTCACTCCGCATCAGGGATTTTAATTTTTTTTAATGACAAAAATGAATTCGCCCATAAAATGTGTTCCGCACCAAACCGTATGCATTTTTCAGTCAACGTCGACGTTTCTGGCTGGACAAGGCCAGGGGAGTTCTTTTTTTTTTTTCAGCACGTCCGAACTGGTGGTTTAAGAGAAAAAGAAGGAAGGAATTGGCAAGGAATCTGCAGACTGTTCATGCTCCAAGAAGCAATGAGTCCACAGTTACACACACACACACAAAAAAAAAAACTACAGCTTCATCCTGGCGAAGCCTTCGGAACAGATAGAGCGGTCGCAAAATGTGGTGTTGTAATTGGGAAGGCGTGGATGACCGGTAAAGGAAATGCAGTACTGTCACTGGCATGCAAAATAACTATCTCATGGCGACTGAGGCAAGACCGATACTTTCCACATCATCTGGCAGTGAGGCCACATCTTCCCAATACAGAACAGCAGATTACAAAGAAGCCAAGTAAAGCCAGTGGAGCTATGCCCGCACACATGGAAATGTCGATGAGATATTCGGGATCGAAGTGAGTATCCGTCCACAGATCTCATGGTCTCTCTCTCTCTCTCTCTCTCTCTCTCTCTCTCTCTCTCTCTCTCTCTCTCTCTCTCTCTCTCTCTCTCTCTCTCTCTCTCCCGGCTGCCTTTTTCCCTTTCTTCCTAGTCCATTGCCTCCCTTCTGCCTGGCCAATTCCGTCTTTCAACTTGTGCCCTCCATACCCCCTCCCGATCTTCCCCCCATCAATCCGATTTTCACCATCCGATTCTCCCCAGACTCTCCTAGTCCTGCGTCTGTCGCCTCTCTCTTCCCGCCATCCTCGCCCCTTTCTTTCCTCCGTTGGGATGCTCTTCGAGCTCTATCCTTCAACACTCGACGTGGCCCGTTCTTCAACACTCGACATGGCCCCTGCTGATCTGGTATGTCCTTTCCTCTCTTCCTTTGTCTGTCGCTCTCTCTCTTCATTGCTCTCTCTCCATCACCTGCATATCCGCATTAACCCTATCCCTCTCGTGATTGAGGCCGTTCGGATTTGCCCTGCTCTCTCCTTTCCTTACCCGTTCCCTCCCCGGCGCTCTGAGATGTGCCTTGCAATCTCTTTTTCCCCACCTTGTCGGGATCCCCCTACACGACCTGCATTCCTACCTTGTTGCCTTGGCCTACTTTCCCCTGCACTTCACTCAGTTCCCCACCCTCACCCTGATTGTCTGGCATTCCAACTTTCTCCTCCTCTCGATCCGCATCCTGATTGGCACCCTCCCAATCGGCACTGCCCATCCCCTTTGAGTCCCCGACCTACAACCTCCTCCCATTTACTTTAGGTCCCTCCTCGGCGTCTTCCTCCTCCACAGCCTCCTTAACGCTCGCAATCTTATTGTACATGCTTCACCTTATCCCAGTGGCTCTCCTTCTGTGTCCTCTGTCGTCGCATCCTCTCCTGACTGACCAAATCCCGGTCCTCTCATCCTCCTGATCCGACATCCTTACCATCCCCCTTCGTCCCTCTCCTGCTACGCCAGCCTCTCAAGATATTTCGATGGTGACCTTCTCCTGACCGCCTGACCAGGCACTTGACCTCCCCCTAGTGTCCTTCTCCCCCTGCCTCTCGGCATGCACAATATGATCCCCACCTACTGCTTCCAATAGGGGTTGTGGCAAAAACGCTGTCCCACTTGCAACATGGCAGCCCCATAAAAAATGGAGTTGCAGCCCTAGACGTGGATGAAGAGAGAAGGGAAGGAGGGAGGGAGGGAAGGGGAGAGAGAGAGGGGGTGCACTTCGCGCACGCTGGATGAACCCACCTATTTGGTTTCGGGGCCGAGTGTGAACAGAACCCTCCACCTCTTTGCTCACCACAGCGCCTGGAGAGAGGAGGGTGGCTGGGAGGGAGGGAGAGAGGGAGGGAGGGAGGGAGGGAGGGAGGGAGGGCTCTGGTACCGAAATGTTCACAACGCGCCACATCTTCAGGCACAACACCCAAGGGACAGACCGGCGGCGGACGTTAATGCGAGGGAATATCTCGCATCGCCCGTGCTTCGTTTTCCAATTGTTGTCGATGTCATTGCCCTATCCTGGGCAAGAAAGTGACACGATCGAGGCATTGCTGGGGGAAGCGGGGGGAGAGAGGTGGGAGGGAGGGAGGGAGGGAGGGAGGGAGGGAGGGAGGGAAAATGCACACCTATTTCCTTTCTGGGTCGAGTGTGAGTGGAAGTCTTCACATCTTCAGGCACAACACCGCAGGTACAGACATTTGCCCGCCTTCTGCATATGGGCAACGCTTGAACGGAAACACCCAGTGCTACCATGAGAGAATAACTACATGTCGGGATTTCCGTTCTCGACAGGGCCCACCCCCTCGCCTTGCCGCACCACCTCGCTCCGCTACTCCCCATATGTGCAAAATTCGAATGAATGAATCGTCCGCTAGATCATGGAAACATACACCCATATTTTATGTCTTTTGTGCATATGAAGAATAGTGGGGCGAGGCCCACAGAGAAAAACTGCAGCAGTGTATGTTTCCCTATTCTAGGGGAATGTTCATTCTCATTTTTGCCTTTTGCTGGCCGGTGCGGCGAGGGCACGGCTACAATCCCCGATAGGGCAAAAAAAAGAAAGGGAAAATGGCAAAACGAAACAAACAAAGCGCACACGAACGAACGAATGCAATTGGGATACCAGGCCTCGCCACAGTACTCACCATATAGCAAAAATGAGAGTGAATCTTCCATTCTCAAAGTGAGTTGTACACCGCCTCCATTTTTTTTCTCCCTTTTTCAAGCCCATCATTAGTTCGGTTTCCCCTTTTTTTTTGTGGTTTGTGCGGCCTATAATTTATTCATTTCCGTTACTGGCAGTTCGCGCGACCTGTAAATTCCGTTGGCCACCGCTTCAGTCGTGTGTTCCCCTACAGCGTTGATAGATGCCGGAAACGCACCGCTTATCGGACGGCCCACCTCAAAGAATGGGCACAGTCTACGTCGGACCATAGGAACTTTAATAGAATGTAGTAGATTTTACCATACAGTGCCTAGGGATCAAGCAAAGGGTTCGGAAGAATGACAGTTCAGGGTTGACCCCTTGCACTGCTACGTTACGGGTCGGGATGTTGCCTTCATCGGCTCAGGGGACCTGGACGAGATTACAAGCGACATTCGCTTTGGGGTCATGGATCACAGCTTAGGGTTTCCAGATCGGCAACCAAGGACGAGGGCTTTGGGTGGGTGTTTATGTCTATAGCTGAATGACTTAGAGATAAGATTCACGCAGCGTCGAGGTTTAGGGATTGCAGTTCAGGGTTTAGGTATTTGGATTGATGGATTGACTTTCAGGCTTCGCAACAGACATTCACGCAGCCATGCTCAAACGCACCTGGGTTTCCAGTCAATCGGCTGAGCATTCCAAACTCCAGGGCCAAGGTACCCCCACCAGCTGTTGAAGTGACCTACAAAGTGATGATAAAGTCAGATTTCCACCACACCACAAGACAATAAAAGGTGCCACAGACCCGAATGCCACGCGATGATGTCACATCTTGCAATTTCATTTGTCAAAAAACCTCCATTGCAGACGGCATGTCCATTATCTAAACTGCAGCTCCAAAGCAACCACACGGCAATGGCACTTTCAAACCAGATCTACAGGGTACGGCATCTCCAAGGAACCTGCAACTACTAGAAAAAAACTCTGATGATAGGCTGCAGTCCTGTGTTGAGCAAGTCAGTTTGTACATAATGAAACTCACCTAAGGGGGCTGTCACAGATTGACATCACACAGTCACAGAATAACATGTGCTTCATCAATGGTGACAACACTCACAAGTGCAATCAGACTCATTCTCAAACACACTTTTTATGCATGTAAACAGCAACGCAGCATACTGGCAACATACGCCCACTCAAAGACTCGGAGATATGGCTTTCAGATACGAGTTCACTCTCAATTAGCTATGGCGACTTCAGCGCCCAAACATCTCACTGTTCACATACACGGGATCACCCTGGATATCCCACACACATCACTCTAACACTCGAACACACACACACTCACTACTAACTACAGCTATGGCAGCTCTCGCTGCATCTAACCTATCGCTAGACTAACTCCCTCTCTCTTGCCCACTGCGTCCTCCGGGCACATCTGCAGACCTCCTTGCACGACTCGCTGTGGCAGCGCTTCCGCATGGCTCACGCCGGAATGAGTCAATGGCTGGGCGCTGCCTCTTGATTTATACTTCAGAAACTCGTTGGTCTGCCCTTTGCCATCGGCCCTTGGTGCTTACAGTCCCCCTGTGGTACTTRCTGGACCGRACTGGGWCTGACTGGACCTTCTGCTGACTGACTGTGGACTCACCGCCATCCTACCCACGTTGTACTGCCGTTGCACTGCGGTTTAGTCCACCACTTGCCTCGCCACTTGACCACTTGCCCACTTGCCCACCTTCTAGAAGGCCTACAGCTAGGCTTCCAGACTCACTAAGACTTCTACGCTACATATCTACAGATCGAACCCCTGCTGCCTCTGGACCTACGACAGACCTACCAGCTGTCTACGAATACACAGGTCACAGGTTCAACTCCCGGGTTCCACACAGATACTGTACATGGGTAAGGTGAGGTATAGGGATCGAACCCTGGGCACTGCATCCGCTACTGCTAAAAGGTGAAAACCGTTTCACAAGAGTCACAACTTCTTGCTCAGTGAACACAATTATTGATTGACCTGTACACCAGGGTTGCATACCCGCCGACCGCAGACCATTTTGCAGCCTACCAGTAGGGCTGACTGGTAGGCGGTCTGACGACCAGTCCATAAACAGCCATTGAAAAAATCTGACTATGGGGCTGTACTGCACATGCTGAGTACAGCCCAAATCCGCTGAGAATTTTTTGGGGATTTGGAGGGGGTATAGGGGTGGTATACGGGTATGGGGGGAGGGTACGAGGGTGTTGTGGGGCGGTTTAGGGGTGTTGGGGGGGGTGTATGGGGGTGTTGGGGAGGGCGGGGGTATGGGGTGTTGGTGGGGTTATTGGGGGTTATGGACTCCTGTCACTCCCCCCCGTTTATTTTTATTTTTATTTTCTCTTTTGTGGGGTGTCGGTGACCGCCGACCGGTAGGTAGCAACCGGCTGACCGGTCGGCTGGTCAGCAGCTGATCAATCAAGGGGTGCCGACCATCGGACTGTGCAACGCCACTGTACACCCAATAATCAGCTCAGAAAGTGAAGTAGGTCGCATGAGGAAGCCAACACACGAAAGAAAGCCCAAGAAAGGCCAATTAAAAGATGAGAGAAACTAGTAGCAAACTAATAGGTGCAAACAGCATAAGCCAATCACAACTTTGTTTTTTCACTCTGCATCCTCAAACGGTCTTCTTTTTCAAGGGCCGAAGGGTACAAAGGTTCCCACAACCCATCTCATATCGATGGCATTTTGATGGCATAGATCACCCTGGCAGAATCCATATGGACATTGCACGTGTCATCATTTGTGCTTCCATTTTCACCTTTTCAGGTTACCCAATGCAGGTTGTCATGTGATGCTTCCATGAGAGAAGACGAACACCCTTCCCATTCCCCTTTGTGGATGAGGTAGACTATCAACCTGGTTTACAGGCCTCTCACCTTTGTTTCATCTGCATGAACTCCCTTCCGCAGATTCACTGACCCGTAAGGTATACCTGAGAACACATCACCAACCACATTATTAGTCTCTCACAATCTCTCTCTCTCTCTCACACACACACACACACACACACACACACACACACACACACACAGAGTGGGTTTTATGGCTGTGACAGATAAGTTTCTCAGACTTATTGCCGTTCTTGTCAGGGGTTTGGAAAGACAGCAGGGTTGGTGTGAGTAAAGCGACGACTTTTCTTAGGGGTATCGCTAACTCTGGGGGACGTGGTGAGTCCTTATTTATCAGTCAAACGCATCCTGGGCAGACTCTCAGGAATCAACGTCCTGATGAGTCGGACGAAACAGTCTGGCACAGTCATGCCTTTTTTTCTGGAGGTGAGTATAGCGAACATGACAACACACACACACACACACACACAGCATGTGTCAAGAGTGGGTTGTACTGGCATTCTAGCCAGGGGTTTGGACCAACAATCTGCTAGGAGTAAAGGGTTGGTGCTACTGAAGTCTACCACTTTCCTCAGGAGTATCATAAGTCTGGGCGACATGGCGAGTACTTATCACTCAGTCATCCATCCTCAGCAGACTGTCATGATTGATTGGTCTGTGCAAATCCCGCGAAACAGTCTGGCACGGTCATGCTTTCTTGTGGAGTGGTATATAGTGAAAACACACACACACACACACACACACACACACAATCCATCCTCGGCAGACTGTCATGATTGATTGGTCTGTGCAAATCCCGCGAAACAGTCTGGCACGGTCATGCTTTCTTGTGAAGTGGTATATAGTTAAAACACACACACACACACACACACACACACAGAGTGCATCTTCTGAAGAAGCACCACAAGCAGTTCATCACAACATCCTTACCTTCATGATTGAAGCCATGGATGCATTGACAGATTAGTTAATGGAAATCCACATTAACTGCGATGCTAATGACATACTTCGGTGACTGCTCCAGTAATTACGGCAAGGTAAGAGGGCTCGGAGCCGGTCATCCTGCCACTACAATGATAGGACGCGCATGCAGATGACTCGGGAAACGATTTCGACAAAGAACTCACCCGTTGGTGTGTCAAACGCAGGCAACATCCTGGAGCCCAAATCTTCCGCCAAATGCAGCAACTCGTCCTTGTAACCCTCCACTTGCATTCCCTGCAAAAAAAAGCCATCAGTGCAAAACAATTCACAAATCATTATCAGCTTGTTAAACCACTCGTGCGCTCACACCATTTTCCCTCTCAGAAGACGGTTCGTTCTTGTCACTTTTATCCAGAACTAAAATGTGTTTGTTCACAGAATGAGCATCCGTCCTTGCAAAAGAGACCGCTGCACGCACTGGGCACTCATAGTCTGAATTCTGAATGGATTCACACTGCAAGCTTTCCCAGTCCCGGTTACAGGGTCCTACATCATCCCAGTCCCAGGCTCCCATCGATAAGAATCTTAGGGCCTGTAGGATCAGGCGTCGCAGGCCGGTTGGCCACAGTACCGTACAGTACCTGTAGGAGCATGTCAAGTCCGCAAAAAGTACAATTTTGCAGCAGCCTCACAAGAAAGTTGGGAACTTTCCCAAAATAGCATTTTGGCAAGGCAGAGGCCGAAGGAGGCCAGTACCGATTGAAGCAGGAATGAAACAGTCCACTGCAACTATATATCTTGGACTACAGTGCCAAAAGGGTCACTTGTTCATTTCGCAGAATTGTGGAAGCGTTGCGAGAGCTTGTGCGATCAAGCAACCTGGACGAAGAAGGAGCACAAGGGGGGAGAAGTGCGCAGTGCCTGGCTGCTACAGTCAGCCATAGCCAGGCGAGAGGGGAGAGGTTCCCCGGTGCCCATAGCCACCCAGGATCAGTAAGGCACACCGTAGTAGCATTCAGGGTAGATCTAGGACGTCGAGAGAGGAACAGTCAGTGAGGAACAGTGAGGGAGGAACAGTGCAAGAGAGAAAGAAAGAGAGAGAGAGAAAGAGACTATCGAGAGAGACAGGGAAAGAAAGAAAGAGAGAAGAGAAGCAGCCGAGGGAGGAGGAAGTTGGTTACATACCTGAGGCTTGTTGCAGCGGTTCAAACCCCTTATTCTCAAACTTTTCCAATTGTATATTATTGCACCTTGAGTGGAACTTCGAATTTGTATTGTTCATGGACATCACTCCAGCTTGTGTGAACTTCATCTGATTGCTCTCAATTTGCATGTTATATTCTAAGATTGAATCTTGAGAGGTTCATTTCAATTCAAAAAAAGTTCCAAAAAACGGATGGCAAATTGGCAATACACCTACATTTTAGATTTTTGACGTAATCATACAAATCAATACCAATCATCTGAAAAGTTCAAAGCAGAAAGCACGACCAGGAGACCAAAACCATCATGTATTTTTTTTTTTTTTAAATACTAACAATTGCAGATGGGAAAGATTTGTTAAACGACCAACCGGACATCTGAGCCTCTCATTTGTAACAAAGGTGGAAGCCCCCAGCAGGCGAAGCTTTGCCGAAACGCCAACGCAGCATTTTCGTTTTATTTTTGGCTGGCCCGGCCAGCCATTTTGGTCCGGTTGCCCCAACCCTCCGCATTTTTCGAAGAGAGCCTCTTGTTGTTTTTGAGTTTGCATGAAGTTTAAAAAACATCACCGTATCACATAACTGGTGGTTTGAACATCACCATATCATGCTACCAACGTCCGATGCTGCCTGTCTCATTCATTTACAAGCGGGTGTGTGAGAATTCGCTTTTGAGTCTTGATTTTCAGTCAAAGCCGCTTCAGACTTGCACCATCAGCCAGGAAATCGACCAACTGCCAGGGTTCAGCCTTCTGACGAGTCTGTGAAAGTCCAACGAAATAGTCTGTCAAAGTTCTCCTGCCTTCGGGGTTGACCTAGTCCTAGAGAACTGGTTGCTCTCTCTCTCTCTCTCTCTCTCTCTCTCTCTCTCTCAGGGGAGAAAAGGACGAGACAATGCAACTGAATGTCTTGTTCGATGTCCATATCCTTGATATCAGGCAGCCATCAAGGAGTGGCCACCTGCCACGGAGAACGAAGACAGTTGACGTGTAAAACAGCCCAGATGGGTAAGGGTCTGCTCACACTGGGTATTTGATAGTGCCAATTCACAACGAACCTGGTCCAATTTCTGACTTCATGCTTTCTTAGCACTGTATATGGACGAACATGGCATCAGCTGAGCCTGGTCCTAAATCAAGAGTCCAAACTGCAAAGTTTAAACCCTGCAGTCGTACCCATTTTTGATGTCCTCCTAATCATCTATTCACAGTGTGGGGTCTGCTCACATGAGGTTAAAACAAGGCTAGCTCAGTTGGTAAGGCACACAAGTGGCATTCAGGAGGTCTTGGGTTCAATCCCCATTGGCCTCATGTACCTTCCTGGGCAAGCTTGGTGCCCGCCACCTAGAGATATGCCGTTGGTCCCCCCGAGTGGCATTGAGCAGAGACTGCTGATGTTCATAGGGGGAGGGGACCGGAGGGGAGGCATAGTGACTGGCCCATCGAAGAAGCTCGGTCCTGATGCTACTGGCTGACCCCTGGCCAGTATCGCCCGCCTGCTGTAGCAGGTACCCCACCTGCTGGTGGGTGCATGTGGCATACTGATACCACAAGGGCCCCAGTTAGGGCCCGGTTCTGTGGTAGGCACGGTTTAGGCCTAGTTATCGGGTCACGACGGTCCCATTTAGGTCCGGGTAGGCTTAGGAACCGCCGGTTCAGTCCAGGGTCCGATAGGCCTCGTTTAGACCCCACCAGACCCAACGGCTAGTTAGGCCAGATACCGGTCCATCGGTAGGACCGGCCGGTGGCGCAGTTTAGGCATCACTCTTCAGATTCAAAATCGGATCTGAACCGTTGGGCCTGATCAACGGTCCAGACCCAAAGGCCCTCAGTAGGACTGAGGCTGACCCAGCACTATATCACCTGGGTACCAGCCTCAGTCGGTAGGTTAGTAGACAGGAGGTTAGTCTACGCGTTAGTCTTCAGGATTAGCGCAGCGTTTCAGCATTAGCGTGCGCCGCGAGGAGAGAAAGAGCCCAGCGGCGAGGAGGAACTAGCACAGTAGTGGAGCAGCGCCAGCCACCGGCCCAGCCCGCGGCCCAGCGCCAGCCCTTGCAGCGCCATAGCCACCGCATCAGGTACCAGGGGGAAAAGCCTTGCCTTTTCTCCCTCTTTTTCTTCCGTCTCTCTCTCTCTCTCTCTCTCTCTCTCTCTCCCTCCCTCCTCCTACCCTCTAGGTCTAAGTCTACTCTACTGAACCTCTCTGAGTACGAAGGATGGTGACGAGTTCTGATGACAGTTGAGATAGTAACATTGAGACATTGGTTGAGGACTACTTCTGGGATCCGACTTCATCTACTTCTAGAGATGTATCTTGATATTGGGAGATCGACATCTGGGACACTGTGAGACGTATTCACGACATTTCGGATTTGCGTTACTTATGACTTTCGAGATACTATTTCTGGATCCATGGTGTAGACGTCAACTTCCCTCTCCTCCTCCTTTCGTCTCTCCCCTCCCCCCATTCGTCCGTGTATGATCTTAGACCCTGGTCTTTCCTTCTGTGTCCAAGGCCAGGGCTTTCACACCCCGGATTCTGTATCATCTGGTCGGTTCTGGGAATCTGCACCATACTTATGACTGCGTTTCACAAGTATGCAACAGTGCAGCTCCTGCATGTTCCCTCGTTGGGGGCTTGAGCACGGATGTGGCTGCTACGGGGTTCCCCGTAATACTATCATGACCTAGGCTACCAGAGTGGCCTGGGGTCACTTGCCCGGCCGGGCCAAAAAAATTGAAAAAAATAAAAATATTAAAAATAAAATTATAAAAATAATTTAAATAAAAAAAAAATATATGGTGAAGAATTTTGATGTAACCCTGAGGCACAAGTTGTTTAGCTTATTTTTCTGCATAACATACGTTTTTTTCAGGTTTTTTTTTTTTTTTTTTTTGCTTGGACCTTCCCTGGTCCTTGCACTGGCTGGCCACCCGGGACCCGGGCGGCCTGGCTGGTAGCCTAGATAATGACAATAAAAAAAAGGCCTGAAAGGCCGTCCTGCCCGGATTCGACAGGTTATTGAATTGGTTGGGCTTCAAGAATTAGCCTTTCAAAAAAAACAAAAAAAAAAAACAAGGCTTTTCCAACATTTTGTTTTCCAGGTTTTGCAGAATAAGGACCTGGGAAAAACAGGAGGGGAAAAAAAACGGTTCATCAATTTTATCCGAGTGTCGTTCAATGATGCACATCATACTTGCAACCGCACCGTGTGGTGCGCTGCACAGCATGTCCTGCAGCACATGCCCATGTGGTATACCAGCAGCAGTTTCCCTTTTTTTTTTTCGGTTGCCGTTCTCATCTTTTCATAGATACATAAGAGTGCACCACCTGAGGAACAGATTCTTTTTCGAGTACAGTCATACAGATTTTTCTTTTTGTCCAATTGATCATCAGAAATAGTCTCAAATCGTCCAATGCGTGTCCGGGACATCAATTTTAAGGCACTTCTGACCGTTAGGTGCTCCGATTAAGTTTTTTTCTTTTTTGGAAGGGCGACAGCCTTGAGATACCCTCTTTGAACTGACTGGCCACGCTCGGTAATTCGGAATGATTTTACTCTGTTCGTCTCATTGCAACTGGATTTGAACTTGGCGGGGTTGTATTTCAACAGTTCAGGGGTGTACCAGCTGAGCTAAGTTTTTTCTTTCTTTCATCCCACAACAAATTTTCAAAGGGAGCGCAGGTGACCACTGATCCAGGCCTGCGACCCCTTCTTTCCTGGGTGCCTAAGCTCACACGCCGTACGTGCGCAATGCTCTGCACCTCGTGCGCTTGCATTTATGATACACATCCATATTACAATGTATGTCGGGCAGGTGATGAAACGAGCGTATTATGAACAGAAGAAAAACTGCAAAGACCCTAATACCCCCCTAACCCCCCTGCCCGCCACAGCATTCCTTCAACCACGAGTACCTCCAAGCCATCGCTACGCCATACCCGAACACCAGACCAATCTCGGACGTCCAGCCGGACCTCGGACCGGATGGCTACGGACCGTCTGGACTGACCCTCTTCCTTCCCCACCTGCCCCCCCCCCCCAAAAAAAAAAAGTTTTTTTTTTATTTTTTCAATTGTATTTGGCTGCAA